ATTATATTCTGTCAAGTTTATTGCACCATTATTATATCTACATCTATATGAATGTTTTATTTCTTTTTAATGAGAAATTTTGAACAATAAAAACGAAACATATTTTTGCGTATTTCATTGTCAAAGGATAAAATATTTAAATGTACATAGTAGTAAAGATACTTCAGTATAGTTCTTTCAAAATGAGAGTGTCCTTGTTCAAAGCATCTTGTGCCTTTTGCTTTAGAATCTCGTAATAATTTTTTATTCTTCAAGTTAAAAAAAAAAAAGTAAAAAAAGGAATTTGGTTACATTAGAATAATCTGTTCTGTATCTTCAAGCAACAGCTATTTTAAAGTATAAATAATTACTAATCTTATTCAATTACTGCACTTAAATTTATTATACGAATAGCTAACCATTCTTATGTTTAATATGACAAGGATAAATTAATCAACTTTCATTCATGTTACTCTTTTTACATTCTAAAATCAACTGTACAACTGTTATGTTCCTAACAGTGATTAATATGAGTATCTGAAGTATATATCTATTAAATCTATTTACAATGAAATCATATCCGCTATAATTCGGACTAATCGTATATATTGAGGTTGTTCAATTGTAATTTGCACGAGAAAAGAAAACTAATGTAATCGCTAACGATTGCGTTGTAACGATAAATACGTACGATAGACTATCACAGTGTAGCTCGCGTTTGTATTCGTAGGATCTCTATTGTTCTAATCTTTTGATTATATTCCTTTTGCCGCAAAGTATGGAAGTACTTATTTGCAAATGTTTTATATCCAATTCTGGTGATCATGCTGTCATACAAATGCAGTTTATACGATATAAAAAAATACTAATATATCATTAGAATTTCTTATTGTAGTATATTTGCAATTGCACTAAAAGCTAAGTTAGCCCAAACATAATAATTATCAAAATGCTTTTAGTACTGTCAAAAAAAAAAGAGAGAAAGAGAGAGAGAGAGAGAGAGAGAGAGAGAGAGAATACTTGTTGCAAATGTAAATAAAAAAAATAGGCCACGACAAATTTTTTTAGCAATCTACGGTGTCACCAATGTTCGACTAAGCAGTGCTTAAAAAAATTAGAGAGTAGAAATAAATTAGACATTCATTTAATAAAGTGTCTATTTATGCGTATAGAACTCTTACGAATTTATCCGTATTGTTTTCCTCGAGTCACATTACAGCATTTACAATAATTATATATTTCAATTTATTTTTGAACTAATTTTCATGAAGTGGAGATAAACAGTATACAATGTAAAGAAAGTATGCTATGAGATGAGGTAAAACATATTTGACACAAAAAGGATGGAAAAGTAAAACATAACAAATATATTAGATGTTTCTCAGCTACTTCATGAAAATATGAGCAAGCAGTCACTCATTTGTTAACCATCTATTTATTAAGAGCTACTATTGTTTATTATTATTATGCAATGGTAAGAAACTTTAAAAACGATCCCACGTCTTTGCGGTGGCCTGTGGGAGCACAGCTCCGAATAAATCTTATGCATTGTATCTCTATTATTTATTATATTTATAAGCAATGGATATTTTGGTACAATTAAATTTTTTTTTATTGTATACTTTGCCCTTCGCATCTTTTATTTTTTTATTTTTTTTATTTAAAAAACAACATATATTTTTTTACGTTTTTTGTTTCAATGAATTGAACCTTATTATTCAATAATATTATTCTCGTTATGCTCGTCGCATATCGTCACGGCTCCCTTTCTTTGAAAAAAATTTATTCCATTTGCTGCGGGCATGCAGTCAGCACAATGTTAGTATTTTGTAGCACATCGGTCTGTACGTTACACGTATTTACCACAGTTTTGGTGTATTCGTGTATGTGTGAATGTGTGACTTGATTTCAAACAACGCCCCTGCTGACTCTGTTGGAGGCGAGAATCAGAGTAAGGTGGGTCAGTCATGAGAGGACATTAGCTATTTAGAAACTGAAGCAAATGTCACATGCAAAACTCAATATTATAACAATATACTTTATCTATTTGAATTTACACCTTGATCGTCTCCTCCTACCGAGATCAGCTAAACCTTAATTAAGAAGGGACTAACATCCTCGTATTATGTGCTGACACTGAGTACATTGTACAACTTAAATCATTGCTGTCAAAGAAAAAGGAAAAAAGAAAAGTCGAAATTAATGTACACAATAAAAATATTAGAACTCATCAATCATCATTGCGTTAAAGGAGAATAACATTGTGATTACTGATTCTTTCATTTCTTTTTTCTTCTCCACTTCGCCCTTTAGGCGTAACTAATGAAAGAAATTACATTACGTCAAGAATGCCATTGTGAGACACTTTGCTCCACTAACAACAGTAATTTTTGCATGTAGTGTATGGACAATCGACGTAAACTAAGGGCTAATGATCGGGCAGCGTGGTAGTGTACTTCCACCTGTAACAATAGTAGTACTCATTCAACATATTACAGATACGATTCGAGTGAAATTACTTTGAACCAATATAGTTACTTACCAGCTCAAGGGCGGGCTTGTGTCGTAGATGTAGTTGTGGCAGGAACTGGAGGGTTGGAGGTAGCTGTAAGCGCATTACGTCGTTCTACCTCCAATTCAGTCAGTCTCTTCCACAGTTCGTCCCTTTCCTTTTCTCTCTTCTTTTCTCTGATATTACAAAATATTTCTATAGATAACGAAAGAACTATCGACAAGTTTCAATTTGACTGTCTCTCGATAAGAATTAATCTAACTATTCTGGATCGACGAAATTATTTTTACAGAATGAATCGCCGCCACGGCACTTACTTTTGCCTTTCAGACTTATAGCTGGCAGTAAGATCATCAAAGAGCTTGCTATTCATTTCCATAAATGTTTTTAAAACATTATAAACAAGGGCTACGATCGTCGGATTCCAATGTTCCTTGCTAATTCTATACAATGCCGGGAACATAATTCCCATTATTACATGATTGTTATCTTCAATTAAAGACATTACATACTCGTTATTCCAAAAGAATAGTGCTCTTTCGGCAACCTAGAAGGAAAACAATTGTATCGTTAAAAAATAAATAATTATGCTTGGAAAAATGATTTTATCGATTGATAAAAATTCATTGTAAATACCTGAAAGTGCGGTGAAGACACGCAACGTGCAATTTGCCTGAATAAAGGTTCTTGTATTTTAGTAAATTGTCCGGGATCTATCACATCCAAGATTTCTTCAGTTTCACCAAGGAACATTACCTCCTTCTGGCTACACGTTTTAGGCCAGAATTTAAGGAGGCCTCGTATAACTGGTTCTGTTAAAGTTGCATCCTTTTCAAGAAACTGCACCACACAATAAGCTAACTGTGCATGATATAATGATAAGCACTTTACTTTATGTAGTGGTAGTAGCACCTATTATAAAAGAACAAACAGTGAATCACATTCGGAGTGTTATATTATTCGACGAATTATAATTTTTTATTATATTTCTTTACCTTAACTAAAAACTGCTTGTGCTCAACTTTTAGAGGAAGAGCAAATCCATTTATAATGCTACCCAAAATTTCAAGTAGTTCACCAACTCCATTGAAATGTTCTGTTTCATATACAAACCTGCAAAAAGAAGCATTTGAAAAAAATAGTTGGTTTTATAGATATCCAGAAAATTATGGTTATTACATATAAATACCTCAAAAAAATGTTGTTGATTTGTTTGCGTATGAAGGCTCTAAGACCAAGGAACTTCCCATAAA